GAAGGAAGGAAAGAAAAGAAAAGAAAAGAAAAGAAAAGAAAAGAAAAGAAAAGAAAAGAAAAGAAAAGAAAAGAAAAGAAAAGAAAGGAAAGAAATTGCTGGTAGAGAGGGAATTAAAACGTTCTTCTTCACTTAAAAGTATATCTGTGTACCACATGTGAACCTGACACCCACCAAGGCCAGATGAGGGCACTGGGTCCCCTAGAACTGTAATTACAGATGATTGTGAACCACCATGAGGGTGCTGGGAATCAACCTGAGTCCTCTGGAAGGAAAGGGCTCTTAACCACTGAGCCATCTTTCCAGACCACACTTAAAACATTTGTTTAATGAGGTTTGAGCCGAATAAGTGACCAAAACATGTGAAAAAAAATGTGCCGGGCGGTGGTGGTGGTGGTGGTGGTGGTGCATGCCTTTAATCCCAGCACTTTGGAGGCAGAGCAGGCAGATATCTCTGAGTTCAAGGCCAGCCTGGTCTACAGAGTGAGTTCCAGGAAAGGCGCAAAGCTACACAGAGAAACCCTGTCTGGGAAAAAAAAAACCAATAATAATCATCCAAGTGCAAACAGGCAAACACAACCTGCTCCCTTGTGTGGACATGCACACTCCTTCAGACACGTAAAACCTGGAACAGATTCCCAACGTACTTTGTGGTTCTGGTTTGGAGCCTGGGTTTGAGTAAGGAGACATTTTCGTGTTTTCACTTCCACACTCCTACTCTGTGTCCATGCTGAGACTCACAACAGGGCAGTTCATTCAGAGTCTTGACACATGCCGAATTCAGTTAGGTGACGTGCAAACTGCAGTGGGAACTAATGAATGCAAGAGATGGCAGGAGCAAGTATGTGGGGGTGGGAGGTCACTGACTTCGACTGGGAGGGGTGATCGGGTGGTAGTGAGACCGTGGGCTGTGTGACGCCCCACATTTTCTTACTACAGAGCCCCTGTGACAGCCGCTATGAACAGGCCTCTGTGTGCCACTGGCTGGGACACAGTCTGTGCTCCAGCTGAAGGACACTGGCTCTCTGTCATCTGGGAAGTGTCAGCGAACTGAAGTGCAGCCCCAGACGTTCCCATGGCAGCCCGCACATCATTGGGGATGGGAGCCTGGAGAAAGGACCTCAGCCCTGGAGAGTCATGGAACATCCGACTTGACCCTGAGGGAACCCTGACCCACGCAAGAGGATGTCCACAAAAGTCTCCCAACAGAAGGTCATGTCAGCCGTGTCTCTTCTTGGGAGCTTCTGTGGACAGTCGCCTTCCTGGCTAGACCCAATGGGAACAGTGTTGCCCAACACTGCTTTCTTCTTTATGACATGGGCTCCCAGCTAGACAGAGTCTCACTATTGTAGCCCAGCTTGGTGCTGTGGAATAATGCCTTTGTACACTGTGAAGATTTGTCACTCAGGTTGGTTTGACAAAAAGCTGAACGGCCAATAGCTAGGCAGGATTTGGGGGCAGAGAGAACGCAGGGAAGAAGAAGGGAGGAGTCACCAGGCAGAGGAAGCAGGAGATGAACGTGCTGTACTGGGGAAAGGTACTACCACGTGGTAGAGCAGAGATAAGAAATACGGGTTAATTTAAGAGGTAGGAGTTAGTATCAAGCCTGAGCTATCAACCGAGCATTTATAATTAGTAATAAGTCTCTGTGTGGTTATTTGGGAGCCCACTGGCCGGTGCCTGATTTGAGTTTTATGATATCTGATCTGATAACTTATAGCCCATACAAAGATTATTCAGAGGTTGTTTCTGGTCTTAGAATTTAATATTCTCTTTATTAAAGTGACAAATTGAAGAAAAACACTATTTTTCCTTAAGGTTTTTGTTTAATTGAAAAGTCTTACTCAGGGCTGGGGATGTAATTCAGTGAGAGAGTGCCCACAGAGCCTGTGTATGACCCCAGGCTCAATTCTTACTACTGCAGCCACGACCATAGCAAAAGATTAGCTGGGTGTGGTGGCCAACATCTGTCAGCCCAGTAGCTGGAGGCCGAGACAGGAGGATCCTGAGTGTCAGGCCAGTCTGGGCTACACAGTGAATTCCAGGTCACCCTAGATTACCTAGGAGGTCACTGTCTCAAAACAAATCCTACTCACTTTATGAATATAGCAGATTTTTCACAGTCACCTTTGTGCAGCTTTGATTGATGTATAACCACACAAATTTGGCTATTAATCTTAAAAAAGCTTTTTTAGGCTGGGTGTGGAAATATAATATATTCGTTTTATGGTTAAGTTTTTTTGTGGTCTAATTAAGAAACAAATTTCTCACCAATACTGAAGTAATTCCTACAAGTCTAATAAATTTATCCACAAATATGGCAAACCTTCAGTTTTTTTATTTCTAAAGCTCAAATGATTTCTATTTAAAATCGGAAGTCTAAATCAGCCACACATTTTCAATTAGAATCACAAATCTAATCTGCTAGAGACTCCGATACGTCAAATTCTCTTAAACTTTATGCAGTCCTAAAAGTATGAACAAGTTTTTTTGGGTCATATGTATGTAAAGACTACAGAGCTGAGTGAGGTGATTGGAAACCTCTCCAGGGCTGAGGTCCTTTCTCCAGGCTCCCATCCCCAGCGATGTGCGGGCTGCCATGGGAACGTCTGGGGCTGCACTTTAGTTCGCTGACACTTCCCAGATGACAGAGAGCCAGTGTCCTTCAGCTGGAGCACAGACTGTGTCCCAGCCAGTGGCACACAGAGGCCTGTTCATAGCGGCTGTCACAGGGGCTCTGTAGTAAGAAAATGTGGGGCGCCACACAGCCCACAAGGACCTCAGACATACAGGTGGGGACAGGCTCCCTGTCTGAGGAAAGAGCCTTTGTGGCTCTGGTGTGGGGTATGTGTTCTCTGCAAGCCAGGGTCAAGAGAGCTACACCATCAGATTTATTCTTGGGAAATGACTGTACAAAATACTGTGCAGAAAAACCACACGATGAAGGCCCTCTGTGTGTGTTTAAATCAGTAGCAGATGTTCCAGAAGGAAGTGCACCAGACTGATTATCGCTGGAAAAAGCGCTGTAACCGGCGATGATGGCCAGCGCAGACTTCAATTTTCAGCTAAAACAATTCACTTGGGTTTTCAGAAAAATTGTGACGAATGTCTTCAGTGACGAGTCATGCCTCATTCCTGTTGCGCTGAGGGTCAACGGAATTTGAAAGACAGCGCAGGGCTGGCGAGGCGGCTCAGCAGTTAAGAGCACTGGCTGCTCTTGCAGAAGAGCTGGGTTTGGTTTCCACACCCACACGGCAGCTCGCAATCATCTGTGACTCCATTTCCGGGGGATCTGACGCCCTCTTATGATTTCCCACACCCATAAGATAAAATTAAATAATTATTCGTGTGTTTGTGGATGGGTGTCTCACTGCATTTATGTCCGTGTACTATATGCATGCAGTGTCCCCAGAGACCGGAAAAGGGTGTAGGATTCCCTGGGATTGGAATTACAGATGCCTGTGAGCTGTCATGTGGCAGATGAGAATCGAACCTGGGTCGTCTAGAAGAGCAGTCTGTGATCCTAAACACTGAGCCATTGCTCAAGTCTCTAAATAAATATATATTTTTTAAAACCAAAAAAGACTGGAATGCTGTAACAGGGTGAGCTATTTTATTTTTTTTATTTATTTATTTTTGGTTTTTTGAGACAGGGTTTCTCTGTGTAGCTCTGCACCTTTCCTGGAACTCACTTTGTAGCCCAGGCTGGCCTCGAACTCACAGAGATCCGCCTGGCTCTGCCTCCCGAGTGCTGGGATTAAAGGTGTGTGCCCACACTGCCCGGCTCAGGGTGAGCTTTAAAGGTGTTTGGCTCCAGGAGAGAAGCACCAAGTCCACATGCTTCGTGACTCCGTTTCCAGGCAATGTCCGGAGTGGACACATCCATGGAGGCAGAAGGTGTGTCAGAGGAGCTGGGGGAGAGAGGATGGGAGCGGCTCAGAACGCGGCTGCTGTTGCAGTGACGGCCACATCTGGAAGCAGCTCACTGGATCATACATTT